CTAAAAATATAAAAATTAGCTGGGCATGGTGATGCACGCCTGTAGTCCCAGCTACTCGGGAAGCTGAGGCAGAAGAATCGCTTGAACCTGGGAGGTGGAGGTTGCAGTAAGCCGAGATTATGCCACTGCACTCCAGCCTGGGCAACAGAGTGAGACTCCATCTCAAAAAAAAGAGAAGTAAAATCCATATCTTTTATATCTTAAAATATTTACAAATAAAATGGCATAGTATGTGGGATTGGGCTTCAAAACAATGCAGAGGGGCAAGGTGTTGTTTGGTGTTAGGAATAAAGAAGAAACAAGATCAGCCATGAGGTGGTCATTGTTGAAGATGAGTGATGGAGTTTCATTATTTATCCTATTCTGTGTACTTCTGTGTATGATTGAAATTGTTACATCAAGAAACAGAAAACAAAACAGAGTTAGTGGAGGTGGAGGCTTAAATAGGTGAAAGGGCTTAAAGAACCAACATTTTATAACAACTCCCAAGTTAGAACTTATTGTGAGCTAAGCATGAAAAACATGGCATGTTCCTAAAGTCTACACAAGAGATACAAAAAGGCTTACATTATGAGGTGAAGCATAGCTGGGTACCAGAGTATATAAGGTATACAATTAGGGATTATACTGGTAATACCTATGTTGGAAAAGAAAGAATCTGTCTGAAATCTAAGCAGTGTGGCAACTGATTATATACAATAGTATAATTACCTCTGGCAATGGCCAGGAGCAGGGGCTCACGCCTATAATCCCAGCACTTTGGAAGGCTGAGGCGGGTGGATCACTTGGGGTCAGGAGTTTAAGATCAGCCTGACCGCTAAGATGAAACCCCATCTCTACTAAAAATATAAAAATTAGCTGGACGTGGTGGCATGTGCCCATAATCCCAGCTACTCTGGAGGCTGAGACAGGAGAATCACTTGAACCCGGGAGGTGGCGGTTGCAGTGGGCCGAGATTGCACCATTGCACTTTAGCCGAGGCAACAGAGCGAGACTCCATCTCAAAAAAA